TAGAGTATTCTGCAGCTGTGGCCCTATATCTCTGAATGCAGCCTCATGCGCAGAGAAGTTGTCCAAAAGAAGAACAACCTTTCTTCCAGCCATCTTCTTGTCAAACCATATAAGCCATTCTTTAAAGATCTCTCCAGTCATCCAGGCCTTTTTATTGCTCCGCCAAACACATCCAAGATTTTCAATATTGATTCCAGCAGTCACAAAAGCCTTTGGCCTTCTTGCAGTTCCAATAAACCAGATAGGAATGCGCTCTGAGGCATCTGAATTACAGCAGAATAGGATGCTAATTCTTGCTTTATCTTTCTTTCGTCCAGGAAGTGAGCGTGTTGATAAACTCCGGTCGGGGATCTTCCTCCAATATAGGCTTGTCTCATCGCAATTATAGATATCTTGAGGTGCATAGGTGCTTAAAACTTGGCAGATTCTAACCATCTCAGCACCAGCATCTTGGGAGAGACTACCAGCTTCACCATACTGTATATTCTGTCGAATACTCCAGCGTGATTGAAAGCCACGGAGCCAGCCATTGCTGAAAGAAGGCATCTCCCTTCCTGGATAGATAGTTTGCCAATATTGCCTTGCTTTCTCCCGTATAACCTCCTGAGATATTGATATATGCTCCTCTGCACGTTGAGTCCACTCAAAGATAGCCTTCTCTAATTCTGGCCAGTTCTCAGTACGTCGTCGCTTCTCTTGGTGGCGGTTGGTGGCTTCATCAAAGGAGGCGGAATCGGATGAAATGATTCGGGATACAGAGGATGGGTTGATTGACTGATTATAGGTGGTTTCAAACCAGATTTTCAGTGCGATATTTGATAGATGTGGCTTGAGTTGATGCTGGGCTCGGAGGGCAGCCTTTTGGCTGTTTAAAATAGGTTGACGGGTTTGCTTTGGCATTGCAGAAGGGAGGGACGAAGTCAAAATAGCCTATTTTGGTTACTCCTATATTAGCAATTTTGTATTGGAGGAGGGGAGAATTTAAGCAACTTGCTAGTAATGGAGTATTAAGCAATTTTATATGGAGTTGTAATTTGGACAGCGTGGCCAGTTGCTTATAATGGAGTATTGCTTATATCGGAGTTGCTTATAACGGGGTTTTACAGTATATCTCTTTTTTTTTTTTTTTTTTTCGTCGGAAAACCCGATCCGCTCTGTTAATCGTTGTCTGGCTCGTCTGGATATCCTATTCTATCGAAATCCAGCCCAGTCTTTTATATTATAGGGCACACGTGCAGAGTACTGAGGACCGCGACTCCTTAACGGGTATACAGTACGGAGTATGTAGCGATGACTTGTTATGTTGCTGACAGGGTATCTAGACGGAGGACATACTGTATGTATACAGCGAAGTACAAATATACCTTCCCAGTATCACCATACATCCGAAGCACATGCATGACACTCGGCGGCCGATGCAGCTGACGAATCTGTCTGACAATCCCGTCCGAGAGCATATCTTGAAATCCTCCGCGGACAAGACTATGTAGTATGTATTCGTGCGATTGGAGGAGACTGATGCAATCCTTTAGAATATTCTATTTTCTATACGAGCAGGATTATTGCGAAGTGTATTCTGACTCTATTCATTATCCTAATCGGTTCATTTGTATAGTGTTCGGTGATAGTGGTGGTAGCATAGCGGTGGTCGTGGAAATTACCCAAAACGGTAATGTAAACGAACATTCAGGGACCGATGACAAGCTTTCGGTCTTTTTTGGGTCTTTTTTCGACTCTTACAACAGCCGAAGAGCCCATAATATTGCCGATGGTTGTGAATCCTTACCTGACTCAGTATTAGAACGGCGTCGAGTCTTCCTGTTGCGTTGGTTTTCCACGATCGACAATCTGAAACGACCGTTCTTCTTTTCTTTTGTCGTTCACTATGTACTTCGGAGTACTCTGTACTGTGTATGCGTATCCCCGGTCACTCTGCACTGTGCTGTAGAGTCCCTGAACAGTACTTTGTCTAGTAAAGAGTAAACTACGGTCCGTACTCCGGCGACCCGCCACTCTATCTGTCTCTATCTATATGTATCCATAGACACAGCCATGATGTGCATCGTCGTAGTTACATATTGGCAGAACATCGGGTAACACCATGCTGGGCTTCCAAATCGGGTAATCTCGCCCCCTCGTCTATAGCCCCGAACAGAGCAGTCTCCTCGTTTTCTTCGTGGCTTCTTTTACATTTCCTTTTACGGCGTGCATGTATACTTTTTTTATTTATTTTTATTTTTTTTTTATACTCCTGATATCTTCTTTGAAATATTTCTTGTAGAATTCAAATACTCCCCATTTCTCCATCTTTATCGCATCCCCATCCACTTTATCCTTCACCCCCGACTCTACCATTCTTTACTCTCTTGTTTATACTTCGTTTAATACATGTCTGCATAGTACACCCTCCCATACACATACACATACATACACCACCATGGACTCCCTCAAACACCTAATCCAATCCCACCCCCTCATCGACAACCACGCCCACAACATCCTCTCCCGCCCCTCCGCCACCAACTACACAAAGTACCCCTTCGAGCAAATCACCTCCGAAGCCCACGGGCCAGCCCTGCAAAACGCCCCCTCCACCTTGCCACTCCTCCGCGCCGCGAACCAGCTGTCCGGGCTCTATGGTTGCGCTCCCGATTGGTCCGCCGTCAAGGCCGCTCGTGACGAGCTCGTCCAGCGCGACTATGAGGGTTTCGTAAGGAGGTGTTTGGAGGGCACGCATGCGGTGCTGCTGGATGATTTGTTGAGTGATGAGGATGTCGAGGCGTCTGAGTGGCATGATCGGTTTACGGTTTCGGAGACGAAGAGGATTGTGAGGATTGAGAGTATTGCGGAGAAGGTTCTGGGTGGGTTGTCGAAGGGGGAGGAGTCGCTTGAGAAGTTGCGGGGGGAGTTTGTGCGGTTGATTTCTGAGGCTATTGCGGATTCGAAGGTTGTTGGGTTCAAGTCCGTTGTGTGCTATCGCACGGGGTTGAATGTGCAGCAGCCGGCTGAGGAGGCTGTTGTGGATGCTTTGAGTCGGACACTGCAGCAGAGCGGTTCGTATCGGGTTGAGGACAAGGCGTTGAATGACTGGCTTGTCTTGCAGACGCTGGACCTGCTCAAGGAGGCTAAGGTCTCGTCTGGTGTCAACAAGCCTTTGCAATTGCACACTGGTCTGGGTGATGCGGATATCAGCTTGGTTTTGGCGAACCCGGCGTATTTGCAGTCTGTGATTGCGCAGTATCCTGAGGTGGACTTTGTTTTGCTGCACTCTTCTTACCCTTACACCCGTGAGGCTGGTTACCTGGCTTGTGTCTACCCGAATGTCTACCTTGATCTGGGAGAGGTCTTCCCCATGGTCAGTCGGGATGCACAGGAGTCGATTGTCAGAGACAGCCTGGACATTGTGCCCTCTACCCGTCTGTTGTGGAGCACTGATGGCCACTACTTCCCCGAGACCTTCTGGCTGGGCAACAAGCAGTTCCGCGAGGCATTGGAATCGGTCCTTGTCGACTACGTGAACCGAGGCGACTACACCATCGAGCAAGCCAAGAATACCGCCGCAGAGATCCTTTTCCACAACTCCAACAAGATCTACAACCTGAACCAGCAGCCGCAATACACCTCCTCCCTCCCTGTCCGCTCTTCCCTTTCGTCGACCGACGCCCTCGACGCCTTCATGCGCGCCAACCCCGACGTGAAGTACATCTGGATGCAATGGGTCGACTACACTGCCACGATCCGTGTGCGTGTCTTCCCCGTCCTCGAGTTCGCCAAGATCGTTCGCAAGCAGCGCCGTATCGGTATCAGTTTGGCCGTCTTCTGGATGTTGCAGGATGACACTGTCACTCCCGAAGGATCGACCACCGGCCAGTTCTACATGGAGCCCGACCTGTCTAGTCTGCGCCGCAACGTTGGCATCGACTCCAAGAGCGCCACAGTCATGACTTACTGGCGCTCGGAAGAGGGCACAGAGCTTGAAGGCTGCCCCCGCACCACATTGCAGAACGTGACCAACAAGATGAAGACCGAGCACGGCATCGACGTGACCTGTGGTTTCGAGATCGAAGTCGTCCTCATGAAACCTATTACCAATGCCAACGGCGACGAAGACTTCGTCCCCTGCGTCCGCAACCACTCCTGGTCCAACATGACCACCGACACTCGCCGCATGATGCCTCTCCTTGAGGAGATTTCCGACTCCCTCGCCTCCATCGGCATCAACCTCGAGCAGTTCCACGCCGAGTCTTGCCCGGGACAGTTCGAGTTCATTCTTCCTCCCAACTCCCCCGTCGCCGCCGTCGACACCCTCCTCAAGGCCCGCCAGGTTGTCGTCAACATCGCCGAGCAGCACGGTCTCCGCGCAACTCTCTACCCCCGTCCCATCCCCAAGGCTGCGGGTACCGCCTCGCACGCACACGTTTCCATTTCCCCCGCTACAAAGGAAGATTCTTTCCTCGCAGGTGTGATGGAGCACTACCCTGCTCTCGTCTCGTTTACCCTCTCGCAGGATGTCAGCTACGACCGTGTCAAGGCCGGTATCTGGGCTGGTAGCGAATGGGTTACCTTTGGAACCCAGAACCGCGAGACTCCGGTCCGGAAGATCTCCCCTGGTCACTGGGAGATCAAGTCGCTTGACGGATTGGCGAACATGTACTTCGCCATGTCTGCCTTTATCGGCGCAGGCTACATCGGTATCACCGAGCAGAAAGAACTCACGAACAAGGATTGTCAATGTAAGCACTCTCACCCCCCCCCCCCCCCCCCCCCCCCCCGTTATTCCTTTTTCATTATATACTAATAAACAATAATTATAGACGACGCAGCAACCCTCAACGACACCGAACGCGCCGCCCTCGGCATCACAACAAAACTCCCCAAGACCCTCGCGCAGAGTCTGTCTGCCATTGAATCCGACCGTACACTCCAAGACCTGCTCGGCCCCGAACTGATCAAGAACTACTGTATCGTGAAGCGGGCGGAGAGCAAGAAGTTGAGTGCGATGGATGAATATACCCGGAGGATGTGGTTGATGGAGAAGTACTAGTTGCGCTTGGCGATTTCGATTGAGTCCTTGAGTGTTTATGCATTATGTTGTTTCTTTTGGTTACTTTTGTTTTATTTTGCATGGCATACATACAGTTTTATACCACTAGCTAATGGATTGATGGATGGATATCGGTTAATGGCATTTGTCTTACTATTCAAGGTCTTTACTCCGTCCAAGTACTACTTCTTCATAGAAGTACTCCCTTTTCTGAACAACTGATTAGATACCAACCCCTGTCCCCTAAGCGAAAGAAACTAAACTAAGAACAGACATAAACTTCGGCTACTCGCCCCTAAAATCGAATAAACTAAGCCAAGCTTCCCCCTGGAGCACAGACCGGTTCCTTGGTTGATGCAGGGGCCACTTGGGCACTATGACCAAGTGTTGGAGGAGTGACGGTGTAGGGACTGAGTCATGCTATTGGTGATAACTATACTGTGGGTGTTGATAATACTGAATGGTGAGGGAACGCTAAATCTATATTGGGGCTGGGATGGGTGGAGGATAGTACGCGGATGACGGGCTGCCCTACTCTGGATGTCGAGCTGAGTCCGGTTGGTCAAGTATCCTGAATTGGTAGATGTACCAGTTTCAACCGCTATGGTCGTATTAAAGGGGCTCGGTACCTTGATTGTCATGCACAGATCGAAGGACTCGAGACACGATCGTCCATTGACAGTACTCAGTACTTGTACGAGTATGAACATCGGGTCAGTCCTATAAATGTCTTGTATTTCATTGGCATCAGGTACTGTCCAAAATGAGTTTCAATCCGGTGAATACGGAGAAAGACGTACGAATTAGGGTATACTGTCCATCATATCAATGGTTCTAGACCCCCGGGATTATCATGCTCTAGCTATTCACTATATCAAGTTTACCTTGCATTCACCTGTTAGACTGAGTTATAATGACAGAACATTCACATGAGTGATGGGAACGAGGGGTCTAATAACCCAGAATCTCTTCTCTCCTTCATTTTACTCTCTCGACCCTACCAAATGGAATCGTCCTTTTCGTTTGGTCTACTGCTATTCTTTCTATCTCACTCTAGCATACTCTTGCTTTGTTGACATGCTACTTCATATTCAGACTCGATCTGTGCCGAATTGCATCCTCGTCTTTACAAAAGATGACCCACGGCCTAACCATGGCTACTCTTATGACTTTGGCATCCGGAAAACATCATCAACAGAATGAAACGAAGCATTTTATTGAAAAAAAAAAAAAAAAAAAAAAAAAAAAAAAATCCAAGTTTTCTTAGCTTCAATTTGGGACGTCATTGACCTAAGTCTAGCTAATAATGCTGTCGTGTGCGTAGAGAATATGGAACTGATTTGCCTAGAGCGGGCGAAGGTCTGGTTGTCTTTCATTGCGTTTTCCTCGGCGTCGTTCAGACTCATTCAATGAGCGATACACATGCTATGCCGCTGTTGTTCAGCTATCAAGGCAAGTGGCGAGAAAATGTAGTTCGGCCATTGTTTGCCAACAAAACGCTCTGTTGTATTCCGTTTATGGTATTTTCCAAGCTCCCAAAGTCACATGAAAGCGGCCACGGTTATACCGAGAATATCCATCTTCAGTAAAGATGGGGATTCAATGAGGGCTCCTCCGGGAATTCCCATTCGGCGAAAGTGCCGAAGCGAGACACCCATAAGGGTATGCGTCGGCAAAGGTCCAGGTCTAGGTCAGAACACACCCATCAGTAGAGCTCTTAAAGCCCCCGCAGGCGATCTCCCACTCACCCAGCTATCTCAACCCGATCTTCAGACAGGAGTCTGTACGAAACAGGCGCTGGCCATAACAGAGCATTTCGGGGGATAGACGAATTAGAAACCTCCGATGAGCGATATGGAAGCTTTACGCTATGGAGGGCATGTTTGAGAACCGGTTACAGGATAAAGTGCATAGTAAGAAGGCACTCAGATATCTAGGGCCTATTCTCAGTACGGCTCCGGTCTATTAAAGCCAAAAATGGGTTTATAAGAGATGGGACGCATGGTTTAAGCTGATCGAGAATAATCATCCCCATGGTACTCTAACGGGAGGTGACATAATGCAATTTCTGGATGGCATGTGTTTGTGAATGCAGTCAAGCATCAGCGAAAAAGAAACGGTCTCGCTTTTCACGATGAAAACAACCCTTTATTACCTCGTTTATATATTATAAGATGAATATTTAAGCTTTGAAGAGAATTATTATTTCGCAAATGTGAACCGGCCATACCATCCACATGCAGATAGCATAATCCTGCATGTGCACGAATCAGTGCCCATTCGTTCATCTACTGCATACTTGGATTCAATTTGTGCCGTATTCGTCATCTAAATAGAAGACGACATTTCTCGACCCTCGTTCCAAGCATGGCTCCCTACAAGATAAGCACTCTTCCCCCATCGAAGATATCGAAGGCTTAAAGCACTAGATGAGGCACAATTAAGAATTCGGGGCTCAGAGAATCGAGCTACCGAATCCTAAGTTTTCGGTAATAGAGACCTCTACTATATCGATGCATTCAGATATGGAACTCACAGCATTGAAATTTACGGAAAGTGTCCATATAGTCCAAGAAAGAGCTTACTTCTATGTTCAAGCGGTACAAAGAAGACGCCCTAGACACTGATTTCGGCAACATTGATAGCGGAAATCACGCTGCTAATGGCGGCAATGCGAAGGTTAGTTCGGATCCTTACAGTCTACAGGTATACGTATTTCGACGCTATACGCTTGAGCCTAGTATTTTTTTCAAAGGCAATTAAGTTTGGAAAAATAAGAACCAGCCAGTGGTCCTCAAGCTCCCGAAAAATCGGGGCAACCCTATCTACCACCAACCGAGCACGATCCGTTGGTGCGAGAACACCTTCATGCACATGGTATTATAATTCGCATAACAATAACATCGTACTGGATAAGAATGGACACCGCTCGGGATCTCGCCCACGTCGAAAGCCCCGGAGCCACCAGCGAGACGGCGAGGCTGACGATCGCTCTTCAAACCTAACAAGACATTACATCGAGCCGGCGCAGGGTGATACCTACACCGCGAGACATGAATCAGGGTTTAATGACAAGATGGCCCCGGAGATGAGCGGAAAAGCCTTCGATCCCGACCGGACGAAGAAGAGCCATGTGGATGCCATACTTCTGGCAGGAGGCAACGTCAACGACCTGGAGGCACGGCGAATGGCAGCAATACAATAAGCACCAAGAAGGTAGAGCGATGGTAAGGAGAAAGCAACACCCCGGCCCCGGAATTCCACGTTCCGGAAGGCCTCCCAGTCGGGGGGATGCTCGTCGGGTCAAAAGCAGGGATATCCACGCCGGTTGACGAGGAAGACGCGGGGGATGACCAAGACCAGAATCCTGTTGAAGACAACCCTACAAATTTCCTGCATTCGAGTTAGGACAACAGAGCTAAGTTAACCAATTTTAGCATTCGTGGCATCGAAAAGGATGACCCCGGAAACCGGTCAGATGTTCAAGTCGGGATATTATCCGGGACATTATCCCTATACGAAGAGCCTTTGTGTTTCCAATCTTTGTTTGGTTGTGCTACTGTGCCGCTCCGGCTAAAGCATTCAGGTGAACGGCGCTCTACTATCAATCTATGATGAGCCTAGAAAAGACAGGTCCCGACACTTCAAGCTCACAAAATCCAACAGCTGGATCTTGTATGCATCAAAAGTTTAGAATTGACAATGACGTGATCCCAAAGCTACCAAATAATCTGGGGAGCCCGGTCTATGATCAACCGAGCATGATCTGGTGGTTCTTGAGAACATCTTCAATGACACAGACAGCCGGCATCAAATCTTGCATCACCTCCCACTCAATAAGGATGGTCACCGCCTGTGATCTCACCCACCTCAAGAGACCCACCCCTGGAGCTGCCAGTGAGATGGCAAGGCTCACACTTGGTCATTGCTCTTCAAACCTAACAAGATGTTACATCAGGCCTGCCCAGGCTGATACCTATGCTGCCAAGCACCAATCCAGGTTCTGAGACAAAATTGCCCCAGAGATGTGGGGAAACATCTTTTTTATGGTGAGCAGACAAAGAAGAGCCACATTGATGCACTGCTGCTGGCAGAGGACAGTGACCTCAATGACCTGAAGGCTGAAATCTCCACCCCGGTTGACGAAGAGGGATGTGAAGACACTGCAGTCTTCTTCCCTGAGCGCGATCGACTGTTACGGAACACCTATGCTCACGGTGGCGATGTTGTACACCAAACGTTTGACCAGACCGCGATTGGACCCAGGCTCTTAGAGATAGATGATCTCAAATTCTCAATCTCCGGGATGAACTAGAAGGATATTTGGTTAAAGACGATGAGTCAATCATATGCACTGACTCGGCATTCAATCCCAAGTTAAAGAACTGTTTTGGCTGAATTTTCGGTTGACACCTCGCCTGGATACAATGGAAAAGATTTGATAGCTACAGCTATCGTGGCAGATGAACCAACTGAGCCACTGCGAGGACAACGAAAGGCAGAAAACATGCCTGGTCATCTTTGCGGGCGAATGATTGAAAGGATGGGCAATATCCGTATACACGGTGGCGCCGTGCTGAAGGATGTGCGCTTTTTGAGTGTCAGCAAGTCGTGGCGTGGTTCGAGTAGGAAACTGTGCGTTACTGAGAATGTGACTATTATTATTCTAGGGTTTGATTTCGGTTTGGGAATGGAAGGACAGGCTTGAGAAAAGATACGGTATTGTATTTGAAAAGGAGACGTCCAATTTGGAGAAAGCAAGCCCGGTATTCCTTCGAATTCTGAACCAGAGATACTCGGCCAAAGTGATCGGAACCTTAAGACAAAAGAAAAGCCAAACCCCACAGAAAACATTATCAATATCGCTGACTGCGATCAAGCTGTATGTGGAATCTCCGAATACAAATCTCGAGAAGTTTGGTCAGATATCCAAAATTTAAGAAACAAAATCCTGACCGACGAGCAATCGACTTCTGCCAACGCCCACGCTGAGAAACCAGGGCCTGAGAGTCCTGGTAATCTTAAGAGAGAGAAGAAGCCGAAATTTGCATATAAAGCAGTCAACGCTTCTTCATCACGCGCAGAGCGCTCGAAAAAAGCGAGGAGCGCCGTCGGAAAGCACACCAGTACAGAACAAGAAATTGCGAACAAAGTGAAGATTGAAATTGCCTTGGGAACTCACCCTCACATTTGGTGATTTGCTTGTTGTTATTATTCAATCATTCGTGCCCCTCTATCTGATGTACTATTATTGGTTCTGTGTATACCTTGTGATTGTGTATATTATCGTCTAGTTTCCTGATGTTAAGAGTCTTTAGATACCATAATCAACTTCCTACCACGAAATGATTGTTGTGCTACAATCAGCAGCAATAATTGTGAACTCAGCACATCGTACCAAACTGATTGAACCAAAGATCTGGCCTAAATTTTCTACCATGGACAACAAGGAAGGACTCTCTCTCTCTCTCTCTGTGTGTGTGTGTGTGTTGGGGTGGCTGGACAGATTTGATCAAGAGATAGCTGAGAATAACTTACGTGTAATTGAATCGATATTACTCTCGTCCATAACAGCGAAGAAAACATGAAACATGTTAGAGCGAGAGACTGTCCTCGGCGGGTCGGCTTCAAACCAGTATCACGGGACACCACATCCCGTGGTGGGAAGATTCTGGCCGACGTCCACTTGCTTCAAACCTGGGTTGTACAGAACTGCGGGTTATCATTTGAGAAATATGCGTCCGATACCGACTGCGGGAGGGGAAATGATAAATGTATTCAATTGGAGGGCTTCGAGTATGGTGATGGAGAGAAGTACAGGAAGTTGCGGAAGGTTATTATTGTATTATGCAACGATATTATCAGTCCGTATACGGACGGCGTTACATCCGGATTGCAGTTTGATGGGCTATTCCGTGAAGTTGAAAAAACCTGGTTTGATGTTTTACATGAGGGTGTGTGATTGGGAATTGATCTGTTAGTCGTATTTCATGCTCCGGCGGCCGGATCTTGTGCTTTCGTTCTGTTGTTGTGTGTATCTAGTTTAATATTGCCTCCTGAGTTTCTGGAATATGGTTAAACATCTTTGCTACTATTGAATGTGGTCTCGATGGTTGGGTTTCTCTATTTGCACACCTCCACTAGGTTTATATATCCAGTCACATCACACGCCCCGCTCAGCGAAAGTCCCCATCAATACAACTGTTATATCGAAGGATAGACCAAGAGTATTCCAATATCTACCCCCGAAATATCTGCATGATTATACTTAGATTGTCCGGTATTCCAGCATACGTCAATCCGGGGCGCCATTTTACTCTACCGACATCGCTCGAGTACGCATGATCTATATTATTATTATTCTATGCCGTCCTCCACTCTTCTCATTTATCCTCTGCGGATCTGCCAAGCATTTAGTTGGACCATTGTCCAGGTTATCGCTGCAAGCGTTGGAATATGCCATGCTACCTTGTACTACTTTCGTTCTCCAGTTATTACCGGGAATGATATTATCCGCTCGACCAATCGAGGCCATTGATACCATGTGCCGGGGAGGAGTGTAAATTGAAAGGAATGAGATCATTACACAGGTTACCTGTAGAGAGTATCAGTGCGAGTCAAACTCCGAATATGTGCATATCCAGGTGATTCGGGATGTCATATTCCTTCTCCCCACATACCCCGTACAGTAAATCGGCCATCCCGAATGCCCAGACATGCCCAGAGCGCCCAGAGATCTCACATGAAGACAAGCACGCAGCCAAGAAACCTGTACATAATGACAACCCCAGAAAACACCCATGTGTCCCGGTAGCATCCGGGGCCTGACCAAATGCGGGGAATATGGGGTTTTGAGCCTCCGAATAAGAAACCAGAATACGAATATGCGTTCCTGTTTGTCCCGATTGAGTCCACATCCGGGGAAATGAGTCTGGGGAAACGGAGACGTGCGCACATATTACGTATGGCCGTGCATCGGCTCGAAGTACAGTTACCATATGGGATCTGGTGTGAGGCAAATCTCCAGTTCCCAGACGTTTCGTTCTCCGGATTGTCTGATTGAACTTCGGACATGCCCCGAGAAGGAGAGTTGGCAGCCTTATGCCTTATGGGCGATGCGATCAGGCTGAAAGTTCAGCCGGATTGTTCACCAGGTTGGGCTGGGAGAAATGTGGGAGTTAGCACAATTATAAAATCAAAAAAAATTCTTCAATTAACTGTCATTATCTTTTCTTAACCTATTTTCGATTCTAAGCTTCATCGCGATATCCAGAATACAGAAAATGTCACCGTACAAAATCGCCGTGATCCCCGCCGACGGCATCGGGCCCGAAGTCGTCGATGCCGGCATCGAAGTCCTCCAGGCGCTGGCTGCCAAGCTGAACCTGTCCTTCGAATTCACAAACTACGACTGGAACTCGGAAACCTACAAGACCACCGGTGCCTATATTCCCGCGGGCGGGTTGGACGATTTGAAGCGCCATGATGCGATCTTGTTCGGCGCTGTGGGCGCACCGGGTATGCTTACGGTCTACGACTTTCGCAATCTTCGCAAATTGCTAATGCCAACACTACGCAGACGTCCCCGACCACATCTCCCTCTGGGGCCTCCGACTAGCAATCTGCCAACCCTTCCAGCAATACGCCAATGTCCGACCGACCCGGATCCTTCGCGGCACCCAATCCCCCCTCCGTAACTGCCCTCCGGGATCGCTCGACTGGGTGATTGTCCGAGAAAACAGCGAGGGTGAATATGCCGGACAAGGTGGTCGTTCGCACCGCGGATTCCCTTGGGAAGTCGCTACCGAGACAGCGATTTTCTCGCGCGCAGGCGTGGAGCGCATCATGCGATTCGCATTCGACACGGCCGCCAAGAGACCCAAGAAACATCTTACTGTTGTAACGAAGAGTAATGCACAGCGCAACGGAATGGTCCTGTGGGACGAAGTCGCGGCTATCATCGCAAAAGACTACCCACAGGTCACGGTAGAAAAAATGTTAGTCGATGCGATGACCACAAAAATGGTGCTCAAGCCGGAGAGTATCGACACGATTGTCGCGAGTAATCTGGTAAGTCACACGAAAGCCAAGACCGCTAAGCTAAGTGAAGCCGTCTTGGTTTTATCTTGGTGACATGGAAAAAGCTAATAGGATAACGTAGCACGCCGATATCCTCTCCGACCTGGCGGCCGCTTTAGCCGGGTCTATTGGAATCGCGCCCACTTCCAACCTGGACCCAACGCGGCAGCATCCCAGTATGTTCGAGCCAATTCACGGCTCAGCCTTTGATATTACGGGAAAGGGAGTGGCCAACCCGGTGGGGACTTTCTGGACCGTGGCGGAAATGCTGGACTGGCTTGGTGAGGAAGCTGCGGCGCAGAAATTGATTGAGTGTGTGGAAAAAGTGTGCGAAAAGGGAATTCTCACGGCAGATCTGGGAGGAAGCGCGAAGACAAAGGAAGTCACATCAGCAGTTGTGGAGGAAATCGGAGGACTATCGTAGTAGTGCAGAATATACAGAGTAGAGTGTGCATAGAATTAGCCTCAGCCTCAGCCTCGTATAGAAACATGCATTTCAGTACAAATCACGCGCAACTTACCACGGATTTATCCCATCCGGATCCATTCCTCCATGGGTTCCTTTCAAATTAGCATAAAATAAAGCCCTTTTTTAACGGACCGAAGATAGAGTAGTGTTCTGACAGTCGTGACTCGGACTCGGTCAGCCCCCGAGACCCAGTTTGTACCAAATGCTGGACAATGCAAAACGGGATAAATGGATAATCACCTCACCGAATGATGTTATATGGATGATCGGTGTCTGGAAGGGGATGCGGGGTCCCCACGAATTTTTCTTTGTTGTCGGTTTGACTGTACACTTTTTTTTTTTTTTTTTTTTTTTGGTCCCTTCCCTTCCTTCTGATATAAGAATGTTGTCCCCTCCGTAGCTGTAATAATCCTCCAGTCACCTCCTCAGCCCTTTTCTTCCCCTCCCATTTCCCTCACACAATGCTACAAGGAAGAGCACTCCAAATAGCCCAGGTGGCCCTTATTGTCGCCCCGGCCTTCATCCTCTTCGGTTACAACCAAGCTGGTGTTGGTCCCTTGGCCAACTTACAGAGTTGGGTGCACACCTTCCCCGAAATCGACGCCACCAACACCGAAGGCGAGCTGAAATCCCACAACTCAACAAGCAAGGGAGCAGTAGTTGCATCATTCCAGATCGGTGCTCTTATTGGTGCTTTATCATGCGCGCTGCTCAGTGAACGCATCGGGCGGCGGAAGACCATTTTCCTGGGCGGTATCTTGTGCATTATCGGACAGTTGTTGCAGACTGCTGCATATGGCGTTGAGCAATTCACTGTTGGACGTGTGATTCTTGGTATCGGCATTGGTCAGTTCAGTGTTGCTGTTCCCGTGTGGCAGTCTGAGTGCTCGTCGGCGAAGAATCGTGGCCAGCATGTCGTCACGGATGGAATCTTCATCTGTCTAGGTTATGCGCTGTGCAACTGGATCGACTTCGGTCTGAGCAAGGCATCTGGCACGATTCAATGGCGTGTGCCCTTGGCCATCTCGTTCGTCTGGGTGTTGATGATCATGGGTTCCGTCTTCTTCCTCCCCGAGTCGCCTCGTTGGTTGGTGCGTGTCAACCGCATCGAAGAAGCCACGGCCAATCTGGCGCAATACAAGGGTCTTCCCGAGGACGATGAGACCATCCGGCTTGAAATCCTGGGCATTGAAACCTCGCTCGAGGTGTCGCAGGAATCCATGTCGTTCAAGGAGATGCTCGCCAACAAGGACGGGGAGCGTCTCCTCTGGCGCTTCTTTCTCTGCATGGCCCTTCAGTTCTTCCAGCAAATGTGCGGCGGTAACCTTATCTCCGTGTATGCGTCGACTATCTTCGAGGAGAATCTCGGCCTGTCCTCCGACCTGTCCAAGATCCTCGCCGCCTGCGCCCTTACCTGGAAGTTCCTCTGCAGCTTTATCGCATATGTTACCATCGATCGCCTCGGTCGCCGTGCCGTCTTCATGATCAGTGGTACCGGCATGTGCGTCTGCATGATTGTCCTCGCCATCACCAACTCCTTCGGTTCCGACAACAAAAATGCATCCATCGTCTCCGCCCTCTTCATCTTCCTCTTCAACTCCTTCTATCCCATCGGTTTCCTTGGTGGCAACTTTCTTTACTGCACAGAAATCGCTCCGGTTAAATTGAGAGTCGCAATGTCGTCCATGTCGACTGCAAACCACTGGTTGTGGAACTTTGTCGTTGTCATGATCACCCCAGTCGCGCTGGACACCATCGGATACCAGTACTATATCATGTATGCGGTCATCTCAGCCTGCATCCCGATCGTCGTATACCTCTGGTACCCCGAGACCATGAACCGAAACCTCGAATCAATCAATCACGTCTTCCGGGACGCACCCTCGACATGGCAGATTGTCTCCATGGCCAAACATCTGCCCCAAGGCGAGGCGACAGAAGTCGCAATGATGCAAAACAGCAAGGAGAAGGGCTTAGAAGTCGAACAGAAAGAAACTGTTTAAACGATTGTCATGTATATATAATGAAGTTTTTTTTTGACGATTTTCACTAGCATTTAACGATATCCTGCTTTTACTTATATCCCCCGTGCCAAAGCTTGTAAACAACCCCTCCGATCAACAGCCAAGTCTTCTTGTCCCTTGGCGTGCATGCTTAATGTTCAATAAAGTACTCGAAAACCGTGGGATGAATACATTCTTGTAGAGCTTGTTTTACACTGCACGAGTATATCCCGGAGGTTTCAAGATGTGAGGATACTGATAACGGCTTGCGATGCAGAAATGCACAGAAAATCACCATTTATCTTTGTACGTAATGCCAATAGCTATTCCTTCATCCTTATGGAGTTGAGCTCGTATGGATAAAATGCCAGAATCAACCCAACATTCTCGGCGCTTCGGTCAACCCCCGATTCGGCAAGCGTCCGGACCGTGTCTTATCGGGCCCCTCTTATGGTATTTATTTACAACAGCTAACCCGAATACCTAATGCCAAGGGATGGGTGAGACCGACCGAGGATCACCCAGTTTGCTGACGGCCGAATCAGCGTAGGAGTTTCCGGAGTGTGCATATACGGGTGCGGAGTATGCATGACCAGTTTTTGATGATAAACCCATGAATTCTCCATGTTTTGGCTTCGGATTTTGATGGTAAATATGTACTATGTGTGATATGGACTTTATTCTGGAATGTAACCGATTTCTTGGGATTCTGTTCTTCAAAGATTTGTATTGTGGCTGCACAAAGCTTGAGATCAATCATCCCGATTGCTAGATTGATTGATGGATGACCGACACCGGCTGGCCGACTGGCTAGCTGACATCGCCGGTGTGCTTTAACAGAATAATTAATTCATCGGATATGCATATCGCCGTTGATTCAAAAAAAAAAAAAAAAAAAAAAAAAAAAAAAAAAAAAAAAAAAAAAGTTCTGGGAACATAACACCTCAGAGCCAGAATAACTGTTTGACAAATGCCTACCTAAACAAGACAAGCTGAAGACAGCCAGCCCAGCCAACCAATCATGCATTCCGCTCCTTCACACCATCCTGCATCGCCTTAACATGCGCAAAATCCAGCGTGTCCTCACCCAAACTCCACGCCATAACACCACCAATCTTCTCCTCATCCACAACATCCTTGAACTTACGCTTGATCATATCGGGCGTGTCCCATGTCCAGAAAAGGTTCTCCTCGTCGTCGAAGTAGTACTGCCCGCCGGCCTTCTCGTCCAGCTGCCCGTTCTTGTCAGCGCGGCGCCATGAGTCGATGATCGAGAGGCCCTTGCAGATCCCGTAGTCGGAGAGACAGCCTGCTTGGCAATGGGCGTCGGTTGTGCCGCTTTTTTTTTTTTTTTTTGTCAGTACCGTAACTACTTGTATATTCAGGCTAATATAGTCCGGGGGCAAAGTAGGCTTACCAGGTGCCGTATTGGCTACAGCATTGTCCTGAGGGGCAGGTTGTCATGGTGCTATATCCGCATGATCCATCCGTCGACTCCTTCAAGTCGTCCTTGTTGGGCGTGGCCATTGTGCCCTTCTCGAATGTCAACGCACCCGACTTGCCTGTGTCCTTTCCATCGGGTGTCTCCAGTTCATCCATCTCGCAACCAAGCGGGTGAGCCTTGCAATCCGCGTCCTTAGCAGTCATGAACCACTTCGCATAGTACGCGAAACCCAAGTTGAGCTTGTCAGCCGGCAACCCGATACCCTTGAACGCCTTGATAGTCTCACGCGAGTCCTCGACGCTACTGTGATGCTTCGTCACTTTGTTCCGGCGATTAGCCAGATCGTAAGACATGACATTAACCATATCAACCGCCTCAGCAATCTTAGGCCCATTCTCATCCGTATAAGCAATCATATCCCCCTTCTTCCCAGGCGTCGCAATAGAAAGAATCTTCCCCTCGGGCAATTCCTTCTTTATCGCCTCCAACAGCTTTGGAAACGCATCGATCTCCCCCGTCTTCTCCTCATTCGGAATATCCTTGTAATTATCCCCATTACCACCAGGATACTCCCAATCGATATCAACGCCATCGAACCCGTTCTCTTTAACAACGGCAGCGACGTTCTTGGCGTACTGCTGCCGACTTGTGTCGTCCTTTGCGCCGGCTGCGAAACCTTCTGTGTCGCCCCAGCCGCCTATTGCGAAGAGGACTTTGGTATCTGAGCTGAAGCGGTCTCGCATTGTGGAGACTGGTTCGAAGGGCTCGTAGTGGGGGGTTGATTGGGAGTTGAAGAGGTCGCTTTTGGCGAAGCCCATTACGGCGTGGGTTATGCCTTCTGTGAGGTTTTTGCCGGGGAGGTCTTTCGTGTGGTATCTGCCATGGTTGTCAGTATCATGGGTAAACTAGTGGGAAGAATGATTGGGGCGTACTGGTCGATATACATGACAAACCTGGTGCTCAGCGCCGTCTGAGCGGCCAGGAGGCCCAAGAGGACGTGTTTCATCATGGTGCTGTAGTTGTCGTTTTCGTATACGGTTGACGAGAAAATGAAGCTGAAGACTCTGGGTATTTAAATCGTCCTGGCTTATCTATTTTTCTCTCATCTGGTATGTCTGTTTCCTTGCAGACTGCCATGCTACATTCTGGTGTTTCACTGACATTCTGATGTTTAGTATGAGGTTGGGGTAGTCGTGTGACAGAGTCCCCAGAGTTCGTAGTACTTGTGTACACCTTATTCTTCAGAGAATATCCTCACTTGCTTTTCTTCGAGATAAAACAATATTTTATGATAGTATATACTGAGCAGTATATATTCCTTCTTTCTCTCGATAAACGAAACATGCTATACGCTATGCCGCGCCGCACCGTGCAGAGCATTCTTCATTTCTTGAGGCATTCCAGGGAAGTCCAATTCGGGAAAGAGATAGTTGAAAAAAAAAAAAAATTTAAAAATAAAATAAAATAAAAAGCAAGCCGATTTATGATAGATATTATTTTGCTTAGTTCAAAATTAGATAAAGTTTATTCCTATTTCTGGGAATATTGAAAATATTCCACGTGCCTCCATGATTGTTGGTGGTTAGGGTTACTACCTTTGTCTTGGAAGACTATTCCACCTGTACATTGACTCCGTTCTCCGTACGTAGTGCACTTATCTCGACTCTACAAAGTACATGGACATATAAGCGTATTCCCTATCGATTGATTCCAGACCCTGTGAATAGACAAAGAAATGAAACCTGCATATGCACGCATCCGCCGGGTTTCCGTATCCGTTGACTCCATACGCATGAAAGAGAAACAAAAGAGAAAATCAATTCTAGTCCATCGTTCTGCTTAACGGATGTATCAATTGAAGCAACAAAGGAGAGTGAATTCGTTTAGTTTCTATCGTGCTCCGTACTCGTAGAACCCCTCTTCCCTCAGAAGATAAAAATCGGGCGTGCCCAATTCTGTTTGAAGTTCTCTTTTTGCTCTATTTCGTGCGTATTTATATATAATCACTCAGTACTCCATACTCGTCGACTTTTCCAAGATTATATGATGCTGGGGGCAGTCGCGAGTACGGAGTAGCTGCTGGTCTTGTTATCTTTTCTTTCCTTCCTTTCTTTTCCTTTTTTATATACAGCATACCCAGAGGCGTGTCACATAGTCTCATGGCCCTGTTCTTCTTCAGAAGCTGTCTGTCTTCCTTTCCCCACATTCCATCGAGTATACTTGCTGATATCTCGGACTTAGATACCACACCCTGTTACGTCTCCTATCATCTATATACACACCAGCCAGCGTCACGCGCGACCGAATTTCGCTCGAGAAATTTTGCGATGTTTGCACTTGGCCACGCTGACGAATTCTGGACTACCGGTTTCACTTCGCTGAAACGGACAATGACTGGTTTTCCTTTGTGTCCGGCCACCCATGTCTTCGAGCTAGGGACAGCTCAAAATCAGCTCTGCATGACAGATGGACAACTCGAAGATAGGGTTGTCTGTTCTGCCTTTCTTTTATACTACATATACGTTCTCGATGCGTTAGGTTGAATGATCACCCTGCCATCTTCAAAGGCCGGTATGTTCAGGACCTTCTTCGAACTTCTTCTGTAACGGATCATACTGATGATATGCACTTTTAGCTGGTTGCGCGTCGTTATAGATAGACACGAGATCTATCCAATGTGCAGAAACTATGGCGGGTATCTTCGTTCGGGAGTACGTTTCTACTATCTATTCTGTTTCTGGGGTGTTCTCTGCTGACTGGACTTGATCCGACCAGAGAAGAACCCAGTAATTATCCCTTTTGCGCATGTCGAATTACGACTCCTTTTTTGTAGCGCAAGAAAAAGGACCGGCCTCACGTCCAAATGCAAGAGGTCGCGCAGATGGTGTGGTCGCTGTTTTTTTCTGAAGGAAAAAGGAACCAAGCAGGTGAGCACCTCCGAAAGAAAAACGCAACTTTGAGACGTCAGCTAACGATAGCAAGGGTTTTTGGTCTCGAGATCCCAGAGGTGGAGACAGTGACCTTCTGCTCCATTCACAGTGGCGTCGAGCTATACCTGACCGTTGCGAAGTACAACTCCAACTACATGGATTATTTGCGGGGAGGGTTAAAACCATGGCGCATAGCAACCTTATGCAAATGCAATGCAGCGATTACTGCAGCACTTGGGGGTTGTCGCGTTTGGAATCCAGTGTATTGTGGAGGCTTTGCAACTACTGACCACCTCTTTCGCAGACCTCAAGTTGCCTACAAGACGCAGCGAATAACGAAGTTTTTGATACATTATGCGGAGTAAGTTGGTATCCTCTGCCACTGGATATTCTCGTGCTGACTTGGATTGGGTTGACTAGAAAACGGTCGTGAACTGTATGTTCAGCTCACGCGATATCCACAATGACCACAAGCTACCCTATATACCACCTAGGCCTATTATGTGCCCCAGCTAGAAGGCCGCCGGCGAACGAAGACACTCTTAGAGGATTATGGTACAGGTAAAGAATCGGACTGTGCAACCGTCCGAGCCAATCCTGTCGTGGATCGCGGCAATGAGTGGCAATGCAAGACGCACCAATGCGGCTTGCAATGATAAGATCCATCATACACCGTACTCAGCGAGGATTCATCCTTGTCGGCGATTTGGGCGAAATGGTGAGCTCGATAATCTTGCTTTTCGCTTTCGACAAGACTCTCGGTCCTGCTTTATTGAGAACGTCGGTCATACCCTGGGAGAATGTGATGCGCCACAAAGTCCGTTTCTCTGAATTTCAGTATCTTTTGATGCAAGATGATTGCACTGCTGGACCCTTTCGCGCAATTCCTCAGGGGACGACTGCCTAGACATAGGGGGAAGGCCTTCAAAAAGTCGTATGTCTTCCCATTTATTTTTCCTGTTAGTATGCTAACATCAGGTTGATAGGCCCTTCGTACACTTGAGTCGCCTGGGACTCAAGAACCTCGACAAGGCAATCCCTTTCGTTCCGTGCGATGTTGCCTTCAGTCAGATGTCTCCATCATTCGTACAGCACCCCGGACGAACCGTCCAATACATTCTTCCAAAAAATAGAACGCCAGCAGTATCTTGTTCTCCGTTCCCAATACCAGCATGTTGACCAGTTGATGCGAGTTTCGCATTTGAAAATTGACTAGTATATAAAGTTCCCGTTTCTGGACCGAGGGTTCTGAGATACGATCCGACAAATGCACCAACTCGCATGAGAGCGGCGTGTCTGACTCGGTACACAATATTATTCGAGTCTCCCTGCACGGAAATGCAGACCATAGTCTGTGGTATGGCTTGTGCACTGAGATGGAGTGCAACTTGGCATCGTGGAAGCGAAACGTATTGGCAACACATTGGCCAGAACTCCCGTTTGGAACTACGAGTCGGTTTTCCCGCTCTTTGAATTTGGATGCTACTTGTCGACAGCTAAATTAAGTCCGGCTTGTCGAAGTTCCAAGTAGAAAGCTACATGATTGTTCCGGAGTCGCGAGGCACGGACTTTTCTGGTGAGTGCATTCCGTCGGTATTCAGACACCATTTATAGGCACCATCGATTGTGCTAATACATGAGTAGGTTGCCCTCGAGTTATATATATATATATAATATATATATATATACCGTTGCCGGTTTTTACAACCCCCAAACGATGGTTCCAGGCGACGAATGGCGCCACGAATCGATAATGCTGCAATTAAGTAAATAACGACCTGTCTATGGCTTAGATATCTATCTAACTAAGCAACAGTTTATTTGTCTTATTTATCTCAATCTACATATAGACGACGTATCTTCGGGGATTCCGCGTTTATCTATTTCGATTTTCGGGGTCGATACAATGGACCTCTTTGAGAGACCCTGCGTATATCAACGACACAACAATCCTCACTTGCTCCCCTCTGACGGGGTCCTCGGGTGTCCTTCGTATATTCCTACACAAGGAGTGGAAACATGTCACCGACACCAGTTTTTCTATCAGCCAAGTGTGACCGAGAGCACTTTTTTGACTAGTTGAAAAGGCTCGATTTAGACTGAAAAATTATGTGGTTGGAACCATATAGACGCTAATGCAAACTGACAAGAGTCTAGCAACATACAGTTGCTTTGGGTGTATGATGTACACTGAACATGCTAAAACTGGTAACCACAACACTCAGTCGAGAGCGACTTACCTCCAAGACAGATGGCAGAACTGCTTAGACCTTTTGGGGTCTCAATAGGGTTCATCTCTACTTATGACACTGCCTGGCTCGGTTCTGGTCTTGTAAGGTATGTCTCTACGCACCTACGCTAAGTGGAGCAGAACTGACACTGGAGAAGTTCTGTGTTAGTTACTCCATTCAAATCTTCCTAGTCGTCACTTTGCTAACCTCCTCATTTATAGATTCGCGGACAAGGGTATTTCAACGCAAAATGAAGTTCGGACATGGGCACCGACGAGTCAGTGAGCTGGCTCTCTTATCCTACAGAATGAGAGAACGTTCTTTCAAACAATACAACCGAGTGAGCCTATCCTTGCACATGCGACGCTGACCGATATCCCTCAAAACCATAGGCGTTTCGAGAGTTCCCACTCCAACATCGCTGTCTACTGGGGTAATTTTTCCATCTATCTACTGATTTATCGTTCAATGCTAACCAGGTTTATAAGCCAATGTGGATCAGACAGTTCCCTCGCGGGATTCTGTGGAAGCTGTAAGTATTTACCACTTCCCCATCCTGATATGTCAGAACTCTTGCTAATGAAATGACTGATCCCCAGGTTAATTTGGTCCTACTCTCCTTCATAACCTACCTTTGAAGTAATGGAGGATTCCCCAGCATGGACACTGGGACACGGAAGTGCAATTCTTTTCCCGGTACCAATCTTGGCAATTGTCCTCGAAATGCATTGGAGTTACTACTCATGGAACTTCACCAACTTGAGCCCTGCGGCGTTTTGCTAGCCAAAAAATCAATGGGGATGGTTTTACCAAAGCCCCGACCAAAATGATACACCCATTATCCTAAAAAGCATTTAATTATTCCGGTATGTATTATTAGTGCGTGGTCATACATGTGCAGGGATTCAAGTCATTATACTAATGTATTGTTTTCATTATCACTACAGGTTATGCTCGTCTCCTTCATGAAGCAAGATCGCAGCATCATATCGATTAGAGTTCTACATCACCAGCAGTCATCTAGCTGATGAGATGGTTTCGAACTGTCTCAAGCGATAACAATGGCAGCACTTAGTATAATGGACAGTCGACTCTCCTCTCTCAGGGCATGAAGGGTATGTGACCTTCGGAGGGGCGGACCGGCGGAGACTACCACCAATATCTTCACAAATCAACACGAAGTCCCAAAGAATACCTATGTATGCAATAGTATGGCTCACCTGTCCGGCTTTGGAATGTGGATCGAAACGGAAGCGAAAGACTATCTTAGTCAAATCACTGGCCAATCTGAGGCATTCGATGTGGTACGCTATACCATTCACATATTTACAGAGATCATTTCCCTAACTTGAGTGTTCGACAGATTCTGTTATCGCTCATTGGAGAGTAACGTAATATGTTCTGTGCGGCTCTAGTGGCAGCCGTGTTTACACAGAGATGAACACGTTTACTGTTTTGAATACGCATCGACAGATTTCGAAGCAGGGCATCTTCTGGAGGACATATTAACGGGAATTGTCCGAGCATAGTGCTTTGCTCCACTTGTGCTCACGACGCCGAACCTCTAGGGTGCTTTATCTTCATGCATCTGAGCCTAGCTGTATTGGGATCTGCCATCAAAGTGGCCGCGAAGAGATTGGCAAATGGCCAACGTCACTTCGAAATCTTCACTTCTGACCTCTGGGTGCCATTGACAAGGGCTCGAAAGGCGAGCTTTTCGCCCGACTAAGTGTCCAAGATAGCAGGCGAGCCACTCGCGCTCCTACATGCATATTTCCCCAGACGAAAATTATAGGACAGATTTGGAGTAGAACTTGAGATAACCTGCTGCTTTCTCCGCTGGCCCTCTGAAGGGTACTTGGTGAGTACAGAAATAGGGCATCCCTCTTTTTCTGCTTTGGGCATTTGAAGCTTAGCAACTAACGTTGCATTTTCGCAGATGATCTGTACATGCAGCAGCTCGGCCTCCGATATGGGTTTATCAGGACCAATAACGAAGCTGGAGAAATTCGTGCTAGTCCTCCGCTTGTTGGAAGATATCAAAAGTGCTAGAAATCCACAAGCGAGCCCGACATTAACCGCGAGACTCGCCATAAAAGCATATAGCGCAGCAAATGAAGAGTCAGTTTGGACATCGACACTGACGACACGGGATAACGTTGCTTGCTTCGACCGATATACATTATCGTGTCTCTGATCGAGAATTGAGGGCTGCGACACCTTTGCGGCTTCAATCCAAGATAGGTGCTGATAGCCTCTACTGTTGTAACTCGGTTGCTTTGGTCCGCGCTTACATACCGCGTTTCTGAGGGGGGCGGGGTCCAAAAACCAAATTCCTTGCTCACAAGTGCATCGTTGGATTGCCGCTTGGCACCCCACGCGACAACATCTGGGTGGTGCTCAATAGGGCTCGCAACCATTGTTCTTGACAAACTTGTCAACCGCTGAATGTCCGGAATGGACCTTGGGTGCTGAGGTGCGATGCTAAGTTCAAGGCTGCGATGATTGCTATGCTGGCTAGTAATATGTAGTATGTGCTGACCTCCCTTGAGCAATGGCCTTTTACCTGGATGGACATGCAGATATAGGGAGTGATATAAGTATTCCGTGGATGGTTATTCTTTGTTCTCCCTGTCTGGTGTGAGGTTACTCATTTCCCACCGGGGGTGGTATGAACATAGATGACGTGGGACACATCCTTCTTCGATATACCTCAAAACTCCCATTGTACAGAGAATATGGACGACAAAGACTCTATGATGTATTTAGAGGAGTACCAGCCGCGAGGGCATGACATTGATGCCTCCGAAGACGAGTCCAATTATCGGTTGAATATCTACGAACGATTACATTTGACCAGGCTAGCCACTGAGATGATTTTGTCGAGTTCATATGGAGCGCCCAGCGAGGGATCGGATTCTGCCCCACAATCCAGCTCATTGCGCACTGGTGACAGGATGATAATAATTGAAGCAGGTGTAGAGACTACGGTCCCCATACTGAAATCAGCAAATTGTGGAATCGGCAAAAGTTTTATAGTGCAGCAACTCGCCGCTTACCATAGAATCTACGTCGTGTACACGAGTCTGGCTCGTGGAAATTTGGCATCGATCACCAGTGGCAGACAAGACTCCGCGTGACGTGTCAATGGATTCTTTGGAGACTGATAGACCATACCGAGACGAGCATGAACTCTGCTCAGATTGGGCTACGCTTTGGGTCTACGTCCCGCTGTGAATGTCGATGTGAGTCCATGAATTCGAATGCCAATCAGTTCGAGTAGTATCCTGCTAACCACTCAATAGGATGTTGATCGAATTATTACGTTTGACGAAGATCATGAGACATTGACGGTAAGCCGTTTACTGGATCAGAACAAGGCCCGGAGTTTTGACCCTGCGGATGCCAATATGAGGTAAGCTCTCACAATCCTAGCTATTAGGGCTACAATCTCGGAAATGTGGCTTGTGACGAAACGCCCTGGGGTCAACAACAAATCCAGATGTCATGACGAACTTCGAGAGAACATTTAACATTAGTGAAATTATGTGCTACTGTCCACAAATACTCGTAGAACTCGGATGCCGAGAGAAACGAAATGGAATCAGTCAATGTTACTGGTACGATTCTATTCAGACAGGTCCTGAGCCAAGTGAAGTTCCACATAGTTGTTACTTGCATCGAACATAGCCTCACCGAAGAAATCCGCGACTAGTGATGCTCAAATAGAGAGAGACCCAATGACCTCGTTGGAAAGATGGCGATTGTTCGAAGGATCAAAGCTAGGGGCTCACAGCCATCCAGACCTTTCAGCAACGATGAGACCCGAGAAATCCCGGCCTGAACACAGGATAAAACCCCAACAAAAGCGAAGTCTGTCGATACCAGGATCATGGAGGTGGTTCGACACCTCGCAGGCATAACAAACAGCTTGTTTGGTTCTGCGAAGTTGGTTTGACAAAACACGGACCGAAATACCACAATGAACCCGCAGTGCTGGACATGCACTGCCCTGTTTCCAATTATGGAAACTTGTTGAATCAAGGCGATCAACAACAAATCCAGAAAGTTATTGCTGATAGGCGCCATCAAAAGCGATGTAGTTGGGCTAGGCAAGACATGGGAGACAAGTGGCTTTTCTTTCTGCTGTCGATCTTATTGAGAAAGCAGCATGATATCCTGTTTCACATCGACTCAGAAAATACTACATGAGTCTCAGTCCTTGACGGAAAGACGGGACAAAAGCGTGAGGAGATTGGTACTGCGATGCGGGCGATGCGTTCGCGAGATCATGAGGGAGTCGGTATCGAACGGTTTCCCAGCCCTGGCCATAGAAACCGGAGTGAGCGAATGCTTGCTCCTAATACATCTCAACGAGCAGGGAAAACTGTCAGCCTAATTTGGCTGTGAGCTGAATGACCTATTGCTGTTATATGTGCATTTCTACTCTCTGAGACAGTAGGGGAACCCAGTTCATGCCGCGAGCCATGTCAAGGCGTCGCACATAAAGTCCAAGGCATTAAACTTCGCACGGAATGCTGGAACGCATACTCCTGATCACCGAGTCTCCGTTCCGGGTCGTGCTCTCTCACCGTTGTCTGATCGTCTAGTCGAAGATGGGGAGAAGTTCAGTTCACGGGCAAATCCATCATCTTTTCTGTGGTGGTTTGCAGAAACACAGTACAATCAACGCAATGTATTTAGAACAGAACCTATGTACAATAATTAAAGTCTATTTCTAGCAAAAATAAGGGGTATCTTTAGAACATCCGAGTCCCGACTCCCAATAAATCAAGCAATCAATCAATCCCAATGACGACGAATAATAGGTCTCGCCGGATCCCACGGTCCAATCACCACATTTTTATACTTTTGAAGACTAATCAGCCACCAACTGCATCCTCCCATGGCAAGCGCCGTCAAAATGCTTCCCAGTAGCGATCCCAGAACGGCAGCTGCCCAGCCGCCTCGTATGGTGCATCCGACAGCGCCACCGGCGACGATTACTAGGGTCAATGTTAGGAGGACGTGTCCGGTCCATGAGATATGGCGTAGTTGGCGGCGGAAGATGGGGAAGAGTCCGAAGACTTCCATGGAGAAGAGCATTAGGCTGAACACGTGGGTTGTCGAGGGTAGACGGGAGGCGAGCACGGTGGATGCCATCACCGCTGCGTTTGTGGATAGAGAAGCTGGGAATTTGGTGGCGCCTGCGCCCTCCCCGCTTCCGTAGTCGAAGGAGAAGATGTTCATGAATAGGAGCCAGCAACTCATGGCCCAGATTGAGTCGCTGGCGGTGGATTTGGTGAGAGATTTGAGAATGGGACTGAGCCCGAGTAATGCGAAGTAGATGAGGAATGCCGATTTGACTGTTGACAGTCGTTGGCGGTTTCGTGAGGATAAGCGTAGGGGCCTGCTGGGCTCAAACGGTATAGGATATCGGTGAATGCTGTTTGCTGTAGACGAGATCGATTCCGACAAGCGAGAATCTCCATATCGATTTGGGCCAGGTAGGTTGGATCCCATACTCAGCCCAAGGCCTTGGACCTGGTTATCCTTCTGTCCAGTCCCAGAGGGGTGGGTTGAGTCCACCACCGAGCTAGAACTCGAGCCAGCATCTCCCTCCACAACACGTTCTGGACCACCAGCGCTCTCATCTGCCTTCGCCCAAGCGTCCCAGAGTATCCATCCCACGGCAGTACCGACACTCCCCCAACAGACCACCGAGACCGGACTCACTCGACCCTGGACGATACCGACGAAACAGCAGATGAAGATAACCACGGAACAAACATGTTGTACGATGACAGTCGAATCAGCGACCAATGGCCAAAAATCATAAGGGCGAACGCGCGGGTTTCGCTGGAGATGATCGAGGAAGGTTTCCGTATCGGTGTAATTATCCGGGTCTGTTGTTTTAATTTGCTGTCAGTCGGCCATCTCATAGAAGACACGTAGAACAGAATCGGCAAAATCCCCGAACATACATGACTGTTTGACCCAGAGTAGTTTTTTCCAAGCACCCTTCCTCCGTCTCCTCCGTCGACTTGTGCCCCTCATACTCCGCACATCTTTCTCGGCATCCGGTTTCGGTACCGCGGACAATGGCCGCAAAGTCGTAAGAGCGGCGGAGTTGCCATTGCCATTGCCTTTCAATGTTCGAAGAGAATCGTCGCGGTTGGTCTTGGCCGCTGCGGCCGCGCGCGCCTTTAATAGTGACGGCGCATAGTAGGCGTCTTCAGGGGCTAGGCGGTTGGGATCTGGGAGGGCACGTTGCTCGCCAGGAGAGTGAGACCTGGACCCGCCCACTCGATTGGGATGGGATTCGTCGAGGACTGGTGGAGGGATGGGAGGCGAGCCGAGCAGTGAAGGCATCGAGCAGACGCAGGATTCATGCTCGGGGCATGGCTGATTTTAGGCTGTTTCTAGTCGTTATAAAGTTATAGAGGGCAATGATGTATCCTGGAGAGTCGCATTTCGTCTCGTTTTGACCGGAAAACGCGCACGCTTCCACGTGGAAGCTGCTTAGTCAGCGGTCATCATGACGCTGCCGATCAGGAGGAACATAGCACACTGTAACACGTTGCTATAACGAGGTATAGGGGGCAATACGGGAAATCTCGTCATATCAAGGATCTCCTGTATAAACGAAGGCAGGGCTCCCTTCCAGCTGCTGTTCTTCATGTAAGCAAAGCTTTGAGGTGGCTGCAATTGCCTCATCTGGGAGAGATCCTTGATAAAACCTCTTCCGAGATAGCCTGGTTTAGTTGGCAGTTCCTGGCCGGCAATGAATTGTTCTATACTCAGGCGTCTACCCTGCGTAGTGGGCATCGCGGCTTTACGGATTTATGCTTTCCACGGGTGGACCTACGGGCTTGCCCATAACGAAGCGGAGATGTTCTTGAAAGTATATAAAATGATGACCATGTAGTAATGGGTCGTTTTTAACTCCCCCTAAATCATTCAACCCTTGTTAAAATCCTCAAAGGCTGAACTTATATTGTCAATCGAGTCTAGATACAGAGAAGAGATAATTAGATTGTCGATTTTAAAATGACTGCTGCAGCGTCTCGCTTGTTACCTGGCATAGGGCTCGTAATCGTATGTATCATTGCTAAGTTTTTGAATGAAGGCAAAGTTCTAGGGGAAACTAACTTGTCATTACCTGCTCTAGGGTTCCGCCTCAGGTAAGTTGACGCGATTATAATGACCTTGGTATAATGGATACTTGTTAACCGGGCATATTCAAGGAATTGGACGCAGCGTGTCGTTCGCGTTTGCCCGTGCTGGTGTTGCGGGCCTTTTCCTAGCAGATATCAATACGAAGGCATTGAAAGCAACAGGAAATGAGATTCAATGTGAACTGCCTGACTTGAAAGTCGTAACTCACCAAGTTGATGTTGGAAACGAAGAATCCTGCATCGATTGTGTGCGCACTGCTGCGAAAGCCTTCGGAAGAATTGACTACGTGCTGAACCATGCCGGAATTGGCGGAAATCAAAAGCCGACTGTTGAACAAGTTTGCGCTGAATTGCAAAAGTTCTCAACCTGAACTTCGTTGGTCTTTGGATCTGCCAGAGGGAGCAAGTCAAAAAAATGTTGTCGCAGGAGAAACTACAAATTCCGTTCGTACAACTCTACCCTATATAAGTCCCTGCTACTCAGTACTTGTCCTCTATTACAGGAGTGGACGCGGAGATTGCGGCGTGATTACCAACACGGCCTCGATTCTGGGGTTGGTCGGTGGTCCCATTTGGTGCTAGCCCTACGCTGCAAGCAAGCACGCGATTCTTGGAATGACGAAGACGGTATGCACCCAGCTTCATTTTGAAATGGATTACGCTAATAGAAGCAAACCAGGAAGCTGCCGTTTACAGCAAAGAGATTATTCGGATCAATAGTATTTGTCCAGGGTAAATCAAACCTGTTTCCTGAGAAATATTATGAATTCCTGGTTTGACTTGACTAGTTATATATCAACGGCAATCCTTGGAAACAATGACCCAAAGTTACGATCCGAGATCGAATCGAAAATGACTTCTCTGATTCCCATGGGAAGGCTAGGGAAAGCTGATGAGGTTTTTTTTTTTCTCACTATTCATTCAATTCCTTTCACTTGATGCTGAACTTTGCAGATTGCCGGCTCTGTCGTTTTCCTCTCGTCGCACATGGCAAGTTACATCACTGGGACTGCATTGGTAGTCGATGGGTATGCATTCTTCATAATATCCGGTAAACCGAAATATTCTGACCTAGATCTATAGTGGCTATACTTCTCTTTGATAATCAACTCTTGCGTCCTTGTCTTTGATATCGGCATAAATTACAAGAGATCTTTACTGGTTCAAGAACGATCATATATAGATGGAGATATCCAGAACCACGTGTCGAATTGTCTCCCGACACATCAATCGAAACAAGGCTCCAAGTGATCTGGTATACTGATACAACAAGAAGAATGTAAAGTGTAAATATATACAGTTCGGTCTAGTAGAGGATGGACACTTTCATGCGGGTTAGATCTCTTAGATCTCTCTCTCCAGCTAGTTATTCTTTACATCTAGATATGTAGGAGAATTAAGCGAGATATTCGCCTGCTATCAAATTGTTTATAGATATGGTCGCAAACATTACTACTTATTATCAAGATTGGCGAAAAGATGGTGTTCAATGACCAGCCAGCGGAATGACAATAAATCATAAGAGCAGTTTTTTTTCTTTCTTTTCTTCTTTTGTGCTTCTTTTTTTTTTTTTTTTTTTTTTTTTTTCAGAATAATCTGTAAGACAATGAATAATGATCTTCTTAAAGTCCTTGAAGCAGAAGGCTATGAGATTACCCTCAGAGCACTCCGGCTACTTCATACGAGACTTGGATTGACGCGCCGTACAGATGATCATGTTAACAGACAGCTACAGGAAGAGGAGCTTACCAAAGGTCTTCTTGAAGAGATGGGAAAAGGCACTGTACAAGTATATGGGAGGGAATTGCTTTATGCTCACATACGTGGATGTGGATATAATATTCCTCAGTTTGTTTGTACGACCTCTAAAGTGGACAGATTTACTAAAATTTCTCATCTCTTCCTAGTGACCGTCTCTTTGCTATCTATCGTACAATTAATCCTGAGTCCATTGAACGCCGATGCCAGGATTTACAATCCCACCGTGGAGAATATGTTGTACGAGGACCAGACTGGCTATGGTCTCTTGATGGATATCTGAAGCTCCAGCCATATGGCATAGAGGTTTATGCAGCAATTGATGTATACTCCCGCTATATATATGGATCTATGTTGGAATCTCTGCTCGTACAGCAGTCAGTGTCCTTCGCCAGTATCTTGATACTGTATAACAGCGACAGCTACAGCCTCAAGTCATCAGATCAGATTATGGAACAGAGACTGTTCTCCTCCAGAGTGCCCATCTTCAGCTTCAAAGAGTGTACAACTCATGGCTTCAGGATAGAAATGGGTATTTTCCGTATTTCTATGGCTCAGGCACAGAAAATCAAAGGATTGAATCTTGGTGGGGACAATTAACCAAAGGTCTCCTTTTTAGATGGCGGGTAAATCTACTCTTCTACAAACTCTAAAAATCTGGCATGACGCCTAGCAACCAGAGAGAAGTCAGGTTGAAACGGTCTTCCAAGCAACCAACTCTGTGTCCGTTGTGTTTGGGCTTTTTATTTCAGGCTACCATGTGCGAGGCAAACTGCTTCCTTACGTTTCGGCGACGCTATCATGTTGGTTCGCTTATATGACAAAGAAAAGCGCGCGGGATCTGAGTACATTGCATCTATACAAGATGAGAATTACATATGCCTCCCTGTCTGAGCAATGGTCATTAGATGCCAAAGAGGAACCATGGATGATGAGCACAGAGGAATGAAATCGTGTGGCGGTCTCGCTGCATGGGAAGACTTGTCCCGAAATACCAGATATGCAGCGTCATCTACTCTAGCTGCACTTATGACCGGGTTCATGTCATTGGACAGTCTGCATCTTGAGCAGCAGAGGGGTACCCTCAATATCAATTGACCTATCCTGCTCTCACTCGCTAGTACAGTGCGTCCCAGTCAGGGGCCTGTTTTTCCTTCCCAGAAGCCTCGAATACTCAGCTCGAATCTCAGCAAGTGAGATTCTCTCAAGAGTGCTACACTCGGTTGATGTTTGTTCAATCTCGATATGCGATCTCAGTGCACCTCAACAGAGAAAGGGTAAGTATGTATACTGTTACTCACGACACGCCTTCGTTTGTTCACCTAGCAACACTGGCTGTCTTGTGGGTTATCGGCACCAGGGATGGTCAGGTAATATAGAAGAGCAGCGGCCAGTCTGACAGATAATCCGGCAGTCGCACTGGTAGAAATACTCTCGCCCTAGGGTTGTGTTGAAAGAGACCACGGGATATTATACCGGTATCAGAATCCAGGTGCTACAATATGATTTATCTCTGTCTGGCGACGCATATGCGTTGGTTGATTCATTGGAAAGATTTAGAGTCAAAAGCTCGGGCGAATTTCTTCTGGCATTTGGTGATAAAAATGGCCTCCAGTGAGACACATGACAACCTCCATCGCCGGCTGCTCTTAATGTCTTAATGAGTGTTGCTGAGCATTACAACATGAAGATACATTGAACAGAATTGTCGCTTAAATAAAAATTATATCTAATATAAAAATTATAAACATTAGCTGGATGGCCATATCCCAGTAACGGTAGTGTAAAGAAACATATTTATACCTCTTAACCATGCAATTCGCTCGACAGTTAATGAAAAGTAAATCACTCCATACACTTAACCTCAATGATCAGCGTCTTAGCATCAATGCCCTGTAAGTTCCTCACGTCATGGATAAGCAGATTAAACTCGCCCTGGCTCCCCTCAAACAGATACCTTCGTTCGTGTTTGGAGGGTATACGACAAGAGAGAAAATTGACTTCTAAATCCCCATCCAGGAGTCGGAAGAATTTGCGTGCTTTCGCAAAGAGATCACGACTAGATTTGCACTCGGTTATTGGGAAGCAGCGCGTTGCGTCTGAAAGTTCGGATACGAGTTTGAATGCGACTTCGTGGGTATTTGGTGGTGTTGTTTTGGGGGATGCTGGGGTCGCTGGGACTGCGGGAGGTGGTGGTAAGGCTGCGTCTGAAGTGCTGTTTCGGGATCTTTTTGTCGGGCGTGCTGAGATGTCTTCGCGTTCTGATTGTGGTGATTCGTTCGATGAAGTGTTTTCGGGGATGGAGCCAGAGATGGTCTCGTCTTCGGGCTTCCTTCGTTGCGTTGAACGAGCGGTGCCATTGCCGGTGCCGCTCTTTCGGCCGCTGCGTCGTCGTCCCCGTTTATGAGATCTGGTTGTATTCTTCTCCGTGGACGTGCTATTAGCCGTAGCACCTGTCGTTGCAGCTTCCGGCTTAGGCCCGGGGGCCTTATCAAAACACCCTGGCGTGAAAACGATATCATCCAGATTCCTCCCAAACAACCTCACAGCACAAGCTTCCTCGTCATAGTCCACCAGTCCATTCCAGCCAATAAGAAAGATCTGAAAAGGAGAATATGGCCGACAAGCAACCAGCTTCCCCGACCCGTCTTCATTGGAAATGAAGGTGATCTTATACGAAATAGGCCTCTTGATCATAAACAACGCAAAGGGTACTTCGTTGCCATTCCGATCGAAGACTTTCCATGCCTGTTTCGGGATTCCGCTTCGATATGAGCATGGTGGTACGGTTGTTGGGTTTTTTTTGTGCCATTCGTCCAGGATACCCCGGATGTTCTCTGGGATTGTGCTATGCGGACCGAACATGCATACCGGATCTAAGGGATCTGCGGTTGTTGCTGCTGTTTCTTTTTCTTTTTCTGTTGCTGGTGCTGGTGTTAGTGCTGGTGCTGGTGTTAGTGCTGGTGCTGGTGTTGGTGCTGGTGCCGTGTCCTCATCCGGACGTGTGATAATGGTATTCGCGGTATCAGTGCCGTTTCCTGTGTCGTTCTCTACCTCCTCCTCCTCCTCCTCCTCCTCCTCCTCGCTGTCATCTTCAGACGATTCTTCCTCATCATCGTCATCATCATCATCATCATCTTCTTCTTCCTCAGACACACTTGACACCAGCGAACGTCAGAAACAGCCCAATCAAAAAAAAAAAAGAAAGAAATATACAGCAGCTTACATGTGAAGTTTCGAGTCTTCCTCCTCTTCCGACTTGACTCGAGCTAAGGGCATCGGGCCGTTTTCGGTGGTGTGCTTGCTTTTTGCAGAACAAGGCTGAGCTGAGCGGGGTCGGTATGGCTGATAGGACTGCAGACGGATCACCGTACCAGCACTTCTTCAGCTTGAGCACGGGCCAAAGAGATTGAGCGGTTTAGAGAACCACGATTAATATTGAAGTGATCCGCAACGGTTATCGTCAATTGATGCTGGGGGTCCGTATCGTACCAGTGATCTCCGTCTCCGCGTCCGGGCACGTCAATCGCGACGCGTAGTTAGTCCGACTCGGTACAGAAAAAAGGCCAAAAGTCAGCACTCTATCAGGGATTGAAGAATAAAGGAGAAAAAGAGCAGAGAACAGAGAAAAATCGCAAAGGGCGTTCTGGATACGAGAGTTAACTGGTCTATCCTCTCATCTGCGGGAAGCCGCTCATTGTTCGTTGCCGTCACCTGATCACAACAAACAACTACTACTTGTACATGGATTACAACAGCACCTGAAGAAAGCGATATTGTACTTATATGTTGAAATTATTAGTAGTATACAAAAAGAGTCTATCGATATCATAAGTCTAGTCTAAGCCACACACTTGATCTCAACAGTCAAGGTATTATTAACGGCACCAGTAGTTGATCCCTTCAAGTCCTCAAGCAACAGCCTGAACTCGCCTTCCTTGCCCTCGAACAGATATGGACGTTCATGACGAGCAGGGATGCGGCAAGACAAGACCTTCACTTCTGAATCCGGGTCGAAAAGCCGAAAGAACTCTTTTGCTTTGGCAAACAGGTGCCTCCCAGTCGCGCATTCATCGGACGGAAACGAGCGGGTTGCGTCTGCAAAGTCTGAGATTAATTTGAAAATCACATGCGTTTCCTTGGTGGAAGATGTTGTGTTTATGCTTTGGTTTTTGTTATTGTTGTTTTCGTTGTTTTCGTTATCATGGTTAGGGTGGTTATCAGGATGGTTATGATACCTCCGCCGCTTCGATCTAGGTGCCTCTTCTTCAGACGACTCATTCTCAGACGGCTCATCTGTGGCGGATTCCTCTTCATCCGATGAACTGCTAGGAGACGGGGACGCACGACGGACAGCCGAACCGGTCGACCTCCGTTTCGTGTGATATACCTTGGGCGCATTCGACATAGCAGCAACACTAGGCTCGTCATCCCACAGGCCGGGCGAATATTTAACACTGTCCAACGTCAAGCCAAACACCCTAACCGCGCAGCATCTCGACTCATAGCCCTCATCACACCCAGCCCAGCCTACCAGAAACGTCATGTTCTTAGTCCGCTGGCTAGAACAACCCACGATTTTATGCGGACTGTTTGAGGGGCACAGCACGAGGATGCAGTAGCTACGCGGGGTCGTTATTGTGTAGCAGGCGAGTTCCACCTCAGTGCCATCGCGGGCGAAGATCTTGGATTCGAAGGAACGCGGTCTGTTAAGATGGTACCCTTGGTATCTGCAGGGTGGGTATCCAGAGCGATTCTTTCTGTGCCATTCTTCTAGAAGCTCGACGAGGTGTCTGGCGAGTGGTCGCTGGGGTCCGAACTCGGGCAGGGCTTTGACGGCTAGCCTGTTCGACGATGAGGTATGGTTTAGGACTGCGGGGGACGACTCCTCCGCGGATGACTCCTCTTCATCCGACAGATTGTTCCGTGCTGGAGCCGGGGCCGGTCGACGAGAAGCCGAATTGATCGATTTGCGCTTCTTCTGCGTCTTCTCTTTGGAGCCATTAACCCTGGACCCCGAATTGAGCCTCAACGGCTCAACATCCTCAGGTTCATCCTCCCACAACTCCTCCGAAAACCACACATCCTCCAAGGACGACTCAAACTTCCTAACCGCACAACATCTCTCCTCATACCCCTTCTCACACCCCGCCCAACCCACCAGAAAAGTCTTGAGGCGCGCCCGTGAACTCGAACACGCAACAATTTTATCTGGTTGACCCTGCGCACACAGAACGAGGACCCAGTAGCGCTGCGGGGAGACAATATTGTAGCACGCAAGTTGTAATTCGGCCCCGTCGCGACCGAATACCTTGAAGGGCATTGGTCTGGGGTTTTCTGGTCTGTATTTGTATTTGCATGGCGGTGGGGTGGGGTGTTGCCGGTGCCATTCTTCTAGGAGGGCGATGAGGTGGCGGGCTAGGGGTCGTTTTGGGCCGTATGTGGGGGGGTTTGCGATTACGAGGCTGTTTGGAAGGTGTTTTGGACTGGTGTGATGCGGGTTAGCTCGTCTGTTGTGCAAAGTCTGTGTCTGTATAGTTGATTCACCTGTTGTGCATTGTCGCGACGTCAGAGGTCCACACGCAGGATCCCGGGAACAAAGACCCAAAGAAGCAATTGAGCAGTGAAATGACCTGTACTCAGTATATAAAATGAAAAAAGCAAGAAAGGAGTGGAAAAGGGATCTATCAAGGGAATATGGGAGGGTGGACGGAGAAAACAAAATGATCCGTCGCGCGGCGACGCGACTTCGTGTTTGAACGGTAGCCAGCCATTCCTATACTATACATCTGCACTATACACATATTTTGGAGGAATTGGATAGTGTATGATCTGACATGAATATAGGTGTTATACAATGCAACGAAAATAATCCTCAATACAGCATAGTAGAAAACATAGTGTAGCATCCAGTCTGTAAAAGTACCCGAACAGACGTATAAAGAACTCATCCAAAAGAAAATAGTGCCTGGACCTTTTCCTGGGCCCATGACCGGTATTAAAGACAATATATCAAGTTCAAACAATTGCATCTGATATGCACCGAAATGTCGAGTAAAACAATGGGTATCGAAGAGTTCAAACCAACATATAAACAAATGCTTTTGTCAAAGCAGAAAATATACAAATGGGCAATGATCCAGAGGGCTAGCTCTGACTTTAGGATAGAAGGGCCTCTTTGAAAGTGAGAGGCGCTGTCGCGTCGTCAAGACTGTTCCGACGGCCCCAGTTGGCCGGTTGTCTCCGGAGGAATGCGCCAACTGCACCGAGGTAGCCCTCGTGGCGCAGGAAGTAGGCTTGCTTCTCACCTTTGGACCAGAAGCGGATGGCGTACGACAGTGTGTTCATGGTTTGGCGATGACCACGGATGAAGGATCCGCCGAAGTAGATGTGCTTGACTTCGTGTTTCTCTGATTGGAGATATGCGATCTGGCCGATGTTGTTGCTGATTGCGTATAGCAGGCTCCGGCTCATGTCCTCGTGCCTGAACTTCAGATCATCCTCGGGATGTTCGGGATCCCTGGGGCTGAGGCCTTCGCCATCCTCCGCATCCCGCTCAGCAGCGTTCTTCGTGCGGAAGACTTTGCCAAAGGTACTGGCAATTGCGGTGCTCTTGAGTCCAATCTTGCTGTAGTCCATGCCATAGATGTCACCAACCAGCATGTCCACGCCGCTGTTGTCTCCACTATCCGCCATTGCCAGCATGTCATCAAATGTCCGGGCGCCTGTCAGCAGGGACAAGATACCCCAGAATGTACCACCACCCAGGTGTGTCCCACCCACACGTTGGAACTCCTTCGGACCGGAAACCTTGATCATGGACACACCGGATCCAATGTTAACCAGAAGGTAGGGGTATACGTCCGGTCGGGCCTCGGCAAATTTCATCGGTTCGGGATCGGTGTCGCTGTAGGTGAAGACTTCGTTCGGTATCTCGGTGATGAAGAAATCGAGACCTATCCAGAAAATTGTAAGCGTCACGTTCAACCTGATATCGCAATCGCAAGAAGCGTACCTGTAATCAAGCACTGCATCTCCTCTTCCCGCTTAACATTCACGTTCAAGGCCTCCTTCAGCTTATCGTAGTACAAGTATGCACCACCCCCAGTAGCCACAACACACAATTCGTCTTGCGAAGAGCCATTGAGCTTCTCATGTTCCTCGTTCAATTGTCGAATAAAGTCAATGCAAAGGTCGATGCGATGGGTTTCGAAGTTGATAAAGTTCAATCGGCCGCCATTGTCTGCGGAGTCCAGCTCTCGCGTAAAATAGACCAATTTCGCCAGCGAGCCGCCAATCTGTAGAGCAATATCATCGCCATAGTCAGCCCAATTGTCCAGAAGTTGTTGCACATGCGATTCCCCTTTTCTCCGGCGATTGCGGGGATAGCTGTCAGTATGCGGGGATCACTCACGTCCACAGCGACATGGCTCACGACGCCGGTATGATGGGGAAGACGGATATCTTGGCTCTCGTAATGCACGCCCTCGGCTTCTATGGGACTTCTGGACCGGGATCGCGGTTCTTCGTCGACGATAAATGCGCCCTCGACATTGATCTTCACAGCTCCGGGGTTGGCGATCGCATTCAGGCGACCGGAGCGGAAGTCCGCGGAAGATTTGTAGGCGTGCTTGGAGACCGTCACGGAGTCGAAGACGGTTGAGATGCGATCGGGGGGCGACATGGCGACGATGGCTTGAGTGCCCGGGAGGAAAGGAATAGGAGCAGCGGTATATAATAGTAGTAGACAAGAGTCACGGAACCATTGAAGACCGAGTCCATCCTCGGGGAAATGGGATAATGACCGTGATAACCCCTACTGCGTATATCTCCTTCTGCCCGCTTTTGTTAAGAGCAAGTGGAACCGTCGGAGAAGTTCAATTCTTTATTGAGGTTGTATTCAAAATCAATAGCTTCAATAGAGTAGTAGCAGTATATAGTAACAACTGATAATTTCGCTGTTCTCAGTTACTGGAATGACGTCTTTTTGGCCTCAGGCATCCAGACACGTGCTGGACAACGAGAATCCTTTGAAGGATACCATATTTATGTATTCTTTCACCCCTGTATTTGCCTCTATCACACTGAGCTAGTGTGACATGTGCTCCGTAGAACCTATAACCCTGCTACTCCTGCATTGCCATGGACTATTAGTTGAAATCAATGCCAAATTCAAGGACAATTTATTTCGCTTGATGCCTTCTATATCCACTATGCTCCAATTCTCTATTGAGTGTATATTAAAGCTGGTTGATGGAGGTACAGCACCTCCGGTTTCGGTTATATATATCGAACCCCCACGCTCGACAACGTGTGAAAGGGAAAAAAAAAATATTAATTTAAAAAGACGCAGATGCAGTGGCTGTACTCCGTAATCCTAAGACATACAGCGAAATTGCATTCTTATCAATGTAGAATGGGTTCATGCTCTCTACTACTACTATACGCCGAATTATAGCACGGTGCATAAAAGACCCTGAAATACTGCATCGGGTTCAAACGCTAAATATCGTGTATAATCAAAGAAAGAATACCCAAATTAGACATTTTACATCTACAGTCCACTCTTGTGTACTCCGTAGTCCCCGAAACAGTAGAGCAAGGTACGGGATAGTGAGAATAGACTACGAGCATACGAATAAGCAAATCCTGCATAATACCTACATCTCTATATTCTGATATATAGTTATGAAATCGAAGAGCAAGAAGAGCTCAAGAGCCCTTTTTCTAAAGCTTTTGCTTACATCGTTATTTTCGAGCTGCCCTGAAGAAGACCTGAGAATAGTATGGAAGGGCATTCACTGACTGACGCGCCAGCCCAGTACGGAGTACAAAGTATCAAACAAAGAAACAAAACAAACTTAAGGTCGCAATTTTTGTGTATCTCAATGTCCAGAATCTTCTCTACCTCTGCTTGTATGCGGCTGCCACTGCAAACAAAAGGCCCTAGTCTGCAGTAGATCTCTTTTCTTTTTCAGAAGTTCTACATCACAAACGCTCGTTGTAAAAGAAGAACTACACTCAAAATACGTTTTCATTGTGTCGTAAGCCATCGTAGGATATTCTGTTGTACAGTGAATGTGTTTGTTGCTGTGACTGTGTTGTTGTCTCGACGCGCAGTGACTGCAGCCCTAGCTTTTTTTGTCTGCCCACATGCTCACTTTTCTTTTCCCATTCACCCATCTCCCATCTCTCTCCACCCACCATATTTTCTATTTTCCCCTCCATCTTCTCTTAGTTTTTTATCCTCTTCATTTCCTGTCATCTCCTGGCAAAGTCTTCATCGTCTCACAACGACTCTCATATCCACGAGATATCTCTACAGGTAAGTGGCCTACTCTCGTCAACACACAAAATTTCAGCTTTTCTCTTTCTCTCCTCTCCACCAAAACAAACGCGTCTAACTCGTGCTTCTCCCCAGTTCTAGTTCAAATCGTATCTCCTTCGACCCTGACCGTTTCCAAAATGGACAGCTTCGACGTGTCGGACATGAACAACGCGGTCCAGGAGGTCGAAACCAACGGACAAACAAACGGTCACAGTCAGATAAACGCTGAAGCTGCCTCCCTAGCTCGATCCAAAGGATGGGCTTCCCCGGAGACGTACGACTATAGCAAGTACGTGGCTCCCGCGGGTCCTGCTGCTGGCCCCGATGGTCCTGCTACCTCTGCCGCTGAGCAGTCTGAGTTTGGGGGTAAGCCGCCAGCTGCAGAGGACCTTCCTGAGTGGGCGGGGAATGCTGCCAAATACGAGTGGAAGGATGAGTATGGTGACGTCGGGCCTGAGATTCCTGAGCTCGAGGAGATGCTCTTTCGTAACGAGTTCATCAACCGTACCGGTTTGAAAATGAGCAAGTGAGTAACCAACCTCCCTTCATTGTTATTGAGCCAGCGCTAACCTTGCGCAAAGCTTGCAAAACATCGAGGTTGTTGCCGAAAGTAGGGAGCGTCCCAACCCTGTGAGAAATGTAAGTTGGGTACCCTCGCCAAGAACTGAACGTCGTCGTTTATCTTGCTGACAATACCCAGTTTGACGACGCTGGGCTTCACCCGATTATGCGTGAGAACATCAGGTTGTGTCGGTACGATGTTCCAACTCCGATCCAAGCCTACTCCATCCCCGCCGTGCTCACCGGGCACGACCTTATTGCCATCGCTCAGACGGGTAAGTACACCACAACTTCATGGCCTACGAGGGTTGAAAGCTGACAAGAGCACAGGATCGGGCAAAACTGCGGCTTTCCTTATCCCCGTGCTCTCTCAGTTGATGGGTAAGGCAAAAAAGCTTGCTGCACCTCGTCCGAATCTGGCTGCCGGATTCAACCCTTCCACGGACTCTGTTCGTGCGGAACCGTTGGTGCTCATCGTGGCTCCTACTCGCGAGTTGTCCACACAGATCTTCGACGAAGCCCGTCGTCTGTGTTATCGCTCTATGCTGCGTCCCTGTGTCGCTTACGGTGGGGCCCCCACTCGTGACCAGCGAGAGGAGCTTCAGAAGGGTTGTGATATTCTCATCGCTACTCCGGGAAGGTTGCTGGACTTCATGGAGCAGCCACACGTTCTCTCGCTTAGCCGCGTCAAGTAAGACCCGCGAATGATTCCTTTGTTTTCTTGCAGCCATACTAACTCTGGACAGATACACCATCATCGACGAAGCGGACGAGCTCCTTCAGTCTGACTGGGAGGAGGACTTCAACCGTATCATGTCTGGCGGAGGTATGAACTGTC